GGGCGTAAAGTTGTTTAAATTGGTTCCATCCGACTTCTGCATGGGACTCTAGGTTGATGTACCAGTTTACTGAGTTGGCTGCTGAGACAATTGCATTTATATCAGCTTTCCAAACATTTGGTCGAGCTGGGGTTTTGGCCCTTGCTGCCATTGCTGTGAACTTGAAAGTGGGTACAGCATGTTCACTTCTTCATAACGGAAGATGTTGTATGAGATCCACATCCTCACCATGGGAGAACACTAGGTCCAGAGTTGACGAGGAGTGCTGTGAGTCATAGCGCGTGGGCTTAATGATATGTTGGACTAGGGCTAGCGATATACTAGATTCTAGCAGTTTTATGATCATAGGAGTTGACTGATGATGGAGTTGTTAGGCTCGACAAGTCAGCTGTTGGGGCGTTGAAGTCACCGACTACGAGACTTTGACATTTCGAAGTCCAGGAACCTAGCTTCTCTATACGGAAGTCATCTGCACTGCAGTCAGGACTGCGGTACACGGCAATGAGGTCAATGTCTTGGCCTATGCATTTAAGTCTGCAGCGTAGAAGTTCGCACGACTCACTTTCGTGAGCGAGGGCTTCGATACCACGCGCGGTTAACCATTTCTTGAGGTAGATGACAACGCCACCTTCTTTTGCGGCTTAGTCGGTCCAGCCTATGCACTTCGAAGTTTGGCAGGTTAACTTCGTTGTCAGTGACATTGGGTGTGAGCCATGTCTCCGTGATAATAATTATATCCGGGTTTCTGGAGTGTATCATGTTGCCGAGCTCAGTCCGATTATTTAACAGGCTGCGGGCGTTTGTGAAGCAGACTGTTAATTCAGATTGGTGCTTCCCCGGCCAACCTACAGAGGTTTCGGGATCATTAAACTGCGAACTCGGACAACCCGAAAACCCTTAATCTTAAGGTTCTTTCGCCGTTTCGGCGTCGCTCGCTTAATTCTAGTGCCGCAGCCTGTCTTTTGACGCTGTGTGCTGGGCTTAAGTCAGCGCGGACATATATCCCTGATCCTTTAAGAATATGAGAGTTCCTTAGAATAGCATCCCTCTTTTCTTTCGAGTTTAGTACGACTTTTAGGAGACTACAGGCTGACTTACTATAGGGTCAAGCTTTTGGCCTATTCTATGTATAGTAATGCCTGTGTATAGTAATGCCTGATACTGTTTGTGGCAGTAGCTTGTCCAAAAGGGGCTTAATGAAGTTAAGGTCATGCTCAAATCTGGCCTTAGGATCGGGGGCCAGTGACTCTTCAACTTTATGTAGAATGAGAGACCTGTTACATAGATCAGGTTTGCTTTCTTTCTTGCTCTGCGGCGTAAGTGTGTTTCTGTCCTTCGTGGGTGGTGTAGCCAATTTATTATCCTTATCTCGCTTTTTGCGAGAGACTACATTACGCCATTCATTGGCGTCCTTCCCGCTAATCGTAATAGGATTTATCTGCCTGCTACTCACCGGTGTGGATGAGGCTTGATCCGCCAGTCCCTGAGTGACTTGAGCTGCAGGTTTTCGACCCCTGGTACGCCTCTTCTTCGAGGCAGGCTTTTCATTACTCTCACTGGATGGCTTATCCAGTATCGCGGGGCGACCTGGAAGTCTGGAATTTGGTGGGTGTTCTTCTGTGCTGTAGAGCACTCATTTATTGGCAAGGTTGCATCGGGGACACGTGCTGTTTTGTCAGTGACGCTAGTCACGTCATCGTTATCTGAGCAATAGTCGGTATTCTCCTGTGGTGGGGGACGCTTGCAGTCCATGAGCTTTAAAACCCCACTGAGAGTAGCAACGGCTTCTGTATTGCGGAAATTAGTCGTACTACAGCAGTCGTTACACAGCCAGTTTGCCAGAGGTTTGCAGCAGCGTTTGTATGCTGCAGGAGTAACGTTCGTGCACATACTGCGAAACCATCTCTTGCAGTTATCACACTGTATTCCCTCATCCACTGCAAAACTGGCACATAACCCTTCTGCAGCGGTTTCTTTTGATAAGCATGTTATTTAAAACGAACCGGGGAAAAAATTAATATGACTTCAAATATATATAACCCATATAAATCAGTGATAAAAAGCTAATGAGTGCACAAAGACAAATACATATAACTGTCAATGTAGTTGAAGATTGAACGATCAATTCATGGTTGTTTGCTCAAACCCAACTTCCCAATATTTTCGCGGGTGTATCAATCTGCCAGTCATCGTCTCATCGGAGTGAGGATAAAGGCCGACACCAGGTGTTATCGCGCAATGCCATCGGTTACCGCGCTCACGTTAACAGACGTTATAATCACCTATTTTTTTGGAAATAGATTATATTTGACTAGTTTTAGACTTATGTAGCCGGATGGCAGTATTTTGCTGTATTTTGTTCTTAGTAGAGCGTAAAATTGTATATTATAGCTCGGACGAATTATCAATGAAGAAGTCATCCTTTTTAAGAAAGTTCGCATAGAAAGACTATTATTTGCATTATAGTGCGTTGAGGGTTTGTTTATTTTCCAGTTGTTTCAGATCTTAAGGTTGTAAATATACTGCAGTCAATGGCTGTTGTCATTCCAGTGAATCTATGAGAATCTGGCCTATGAAAGATAAATAGCATGCAGACATAGGTTAGATGTGTGCTTTGAACATGTTAAACTTTTCTGTTATCATCCGGGATGACTGAAATATTCCATAACACATTGACGACATTATGCGATGAATGAGACAGGCTGCTGAATTTCCTGGTTATTATATCTATTTAGATGAAGTTCCTAGTTAAAAGTGCTTGGGCGAAGATGTGAAAATAGTTTAATTGACATTTGCACATGGAATTTCACAATGCCTTAATTGCTCAGTGCATGAAATGGCATCAGAGTATATTGACATCAGTGTTCATTGTGTCTGGAAGAATAGTATAAATAGTCCTTCTCAAATGTCAGAGTACTTAAAATTAGTACCAGATTTATGTCGATTAGTAGCTGGCGGCTGTGTCGCACAACTACTACACCTGTTACATAGGTTATATCAATCTTAAAAATTATTTTGCTTCACATCACTAAGATAATCTGAGATCCTTAATGACTTAATTGTGGCTATGAAATATGTAGAAGATGCACTTATGGCTGATATATTTAAAGCAGTTATTATTACACAAGTTATCTGTAAGCAACTTGTGATGTTCTGAATACTGCAAACTGTTGATAAGATACTGCATTAAAGGAAAAAATGCTGAACAGCTAGAAAATAGTACTGCAGTTTCGTTGGTTGTTACCTTTAGCATTTGTAACTCATTATTCCAAAGCTGCGATTGACGCCAAACCATCCATGGTACCCCACAGGCCCTATTGAAATTTGTGAGACATCTTACATGTCAGGTTGTCTTCCATATTATAAGGTTGCAGATCTTTCAATTTACCTCTCACTGAAGTATCACTTATCTACTTCACTATGGTCTTTTCATTTGTGCACTATTACACTGCATTTTATGTTAACTGGATATGCCTTTATGCTTACAGTCTATTTGCTTTTATTAGAAACACAACAACAGCAGTGTTGGAACAAAGCTGTATTTTCATAGAAAACATCATATTTTCTATCCTTACACCAATATGGTTGGCATTAAACATTGCAGATGTATACTCACATTCCAACGACATAGCACTTAGCCAAATGTACGGTGTTCATTATTAAGGGTTTACAATTTAACTCTTATAATTCATGATACTTCACGATTGCAGTTTATAACATAACTTATTGCGCCTGTAGAAATGACATGCATTCATTGTAAACATTGGTTTAAACGAAATTTGAAATTATTACTATATGCTTGCTGCTATCCTTTAGAAGAGGAATAATGTGTGTTGCAGTGAAAACCCCAGAATAATGATGTCATTACCAAAGAATGAGAAAGGAGAATAAACCATTTTCAGCAAAGGTAGGCAGATATAAATCGTTTACCTTTAATATTACTTCTTCCTTACTTCAGCTATTTAAAAAACACTTTGTTTACTTATTTGTAGATATCTGGTAACGTCAATCACCCCAGTCACAGAGATTCGACATTGCACAAATTATTCCGACAATCGACTGCGTAAACACATTTGCTTGTTATTATTTTTTCATTAAATACATTTAATATCCTGCTTACCAGACCTTTCTTATTATATCTGAGTTTAGATGTATTTGTCATGATGACTAGGTGCAGACATGACTTATTAATAAGAACTGACGAAGTAATTGGTGGCATATTTTAGTGTAAGCTAAATCTAAATACGATTGTTAAAGCTCAACGAATTCAATAATTCGTCTGGTGTAGAGTTGAATTTACGCTACATGTCAACAGCCTTAGTCATATGGATTGACATCACGCTTTAAGTGAAACATTAGTAATGCAATACTTTCGAATACACGTAACCGTATAAGAACAGGGACTCGAATGCAGTGCCTAAGGTATGCCTACTATTGTCCCTAAAGACTTGTATATGACTATGATACTTATGCACGTTAGCTAACTGAAATACTTATAATTTAACACGTATGCTGACCGACATCGTTCCTACACAATTACACTTACGTATTGTTAGTAGTGAAAGTCCTAGAGAGCACCGGTCTAGCATGCCGCGCTCACAAAGTGAACACATGAATTGAAAGACAACAAAATTTACATGAAAATTTTATTTTCATTATGACAAAAATTTAGTTTATTTACATATTAAGAACACGATTGATTCCTGCGATTACTCCGTCTGCATAAGCATTGGCAAACACTTCTCCAAATTTGTCATTAATTCTGTCCATACCCGCATTGATAATCTTCTTTTTGGTATCGTATATGTTACTTCGATTTCGAGGGATAACTGCTGACGTACTTTGAGATGCGAACAAGTTGCGTGACCACGTCCATTGTTTACAATTATGCATCACATGGTTAACTACAAAAGGTGGAACAAAAAAAGTTAAGATAACTATGAACTGATTATTACATTACATTATACATTAAAAACGTAGTCATAAAAACGCAAATATACCTGTGAAATACGGCTTTCTTAAGTGGACCAAAAGCAAGTGTCGGCAGGGGTACCGACAGGTCTGAAATGTAAAGCACGTGCAGGTGCAAGCACTCAGATCAACCTGCACTGTTTTCCCATTTTCTTTGAAAAATACATAATCAACGGATTCGAACTCAACAGTAGCCCATCGTCGCAATTGGTATTCACGTATTACCTTCCTCGCGGCGTATGGTGTAAGCAACCGTATAATTGGGATTAAACTTTGTGAACAGGGATACGTGAAGCATCGTGATTGAGCAATATTCGCCTCCTGCTGTATTATTGAAAAACTTCGTTTATGCCATTTATACACCTTTAGCATACTTTTATGCAGACTATCAGATCTTTGCAAAAACCGTTTCATCTGCTTGTGGGAACTCTCGACACGATTATTTGTATCGTTCCCAAAAGTCAGCACGTTATCTCTGAAACAGGCCGCCCACAATTCTCGTCGATGCATCCAACGACGTTGTAGATATTGACTGACAGTAGCATCCAATCTCCTAATAACTCTGAAGTAGAAATTAAATCTGGAAAATGAGAATATTAGAGGCATTACTCTGATCTCCTTTTACACTACACTAGACGGCATAAGTAGTTCTTCACAATGGGATTTCTTGTCTACGAATAAAATGTAAAGTATGCTTTGAAAAACTTACTTTCCGACAGAAAGCTCGGCAAACATGAAAAGAACACAAAACAATGTGCGCTTGTCTGTGCGTTAACTTGACGGCTGCTATTTCAGCTTGCGCACAACCCATAATGAAGGATTCTGTTTTCGAGGTGTCTTCCATTATTTGCCGGAAACAGTCTAATATCCAAACTACATCTCGTTTGAATTCTTTTCTAGTCCACGCAAATAAAACTGGTCGTCCACGACCAAAATTATCCGTCACAAGTAGCTGGAACAAAGAATACCTGCACGTTGATTAATGAATTGGTAAACTTACTTCCCTTTATTTGTATTATACCTCGAATCAATACCAACAACTTCAGGGAACTGTTTATACAATTCCATTTGCTCATAAGTTGCAAAACAAATTCTTGTTAGTGAATTCCTGATCGGTTCATCGGAATAATACTCCATTAACTTCCCACGGGATTTTAGGAATTCAAAAATGTCACGACGACTCGAAATACCTTAAGTATGTAACAAGTACGTCAACGTTACCTTTATTCACTGCGGCTTTCATATTTTTAACGTCAATGCGAGTTATATCCTTCTGGTACTTTTTTTTTTTTTTTTTTTTTTTTTTTTTTTTTTTTTTTTTTTTTTTTTTTTTTTTTTTTTTTTTTTTTTTTTTTTTTTTTTTTTTTTTTTTTTTTTTTTTTTTTTTTTTTTTTTTTTTTTTTTTTTTTTTTTTTTTTTTTTTTTTTTTTTTTTTTTTTTTTTTTTTTTTTTTTTTTTTTTTTTTTTTTTTTTTTTTTTTTTTTTTTTTTTTTTTTTTTTTTTTTTTTTTTTTTTTTTTTTTTTTTTTTTTTTTTTTTTTTTTTTTTTTTTTTTTTTTTTTTTTTTTTTTTTTTTTTTTTTTTTTTTTAGTGAGTGTAGGATAACTACACTGTTAGCATTATATGACTTCCTCACTTTTTGAAATTCTGCTATTGACTTCTCAAATTCATCCCAGCTGAAGAAACGCTTTCCAAGTATGTATTCAGCAAAAATTCCACTTAAATCTGTGCTCCTGTCACTCGAATTGACTACCTGCAACGGACTAAAATAAAGTTATCAATTAGGATCCATCTATGTCACAACTATTCCAACATAAATCGTAAAAAAACAACATTGAAATACAGGGATGATCGATAACCATCAAGAAAATGCCGCACGTATAACCTAAATTACAGAAAAACACAAGAACCCACCGGTTCGTTGACATCGCAAGCAACCAATAGACCAAACAACGAATTGTACGACAAATAATGCCTAGTACATGCACAAACAAAGAAAAACAAAGCGTTACAATAGTTTCATACACGTTTACAGTAATCACATATGCTGGCAAACGACGCAAACACAACCACGCAAATACAGCACCCGACAGCACGCACCCAAGGACAATTCAAACTCCAATTGACCGCCACCATTCTAGCCAATGAAAGACGAAAAAAAATTAGTCGCGGAAAATATAACACGAGACAACCTATATCCTCACCCGTCTCATCGGTCGCTGTCCAGAAAGAACCTAGAAAAAACCGTCAGAAATAATATCGCGATTTATTGTTGTAATATTTGTTCTTAGACCCTAGTCTGTAATACTAACAATGCGGGTTATATGTTGGTGTCAGAATAAAGAATTCTCGAGTCGCCAATCTGTGTTCTGGTTTTTGCGTCCGTTAGTACCAAGCGTTTCTTTAATAATAATAATAGTGACAGCTTTATTCCGAACGGTAATTGTGGTACAGGTATATTGCATCTAATTGCCTCATAAAGTTTTATAATATTTTTAAAATCAAAAGATAAATAGATAAATAAAAATAAAATAAATAATAAATAAATAAAATAAACAAAAGTAAAAAACAGCGTAGAGTTTACATTTCAAACAATGCACCACAAGATATGAAATATAAAGTTGGTGTGTGATAGAAGATGAGAACAACAGTGTAATAGCAACGAAGAAAGGAAAACAAAACCTAATGGGACTATTTGTTAGAGTGCCGCAGTAAGTTGATAGTGTCATATCTAACGGATTTCTCATCACATAACAGCTGTGCCAGACATGGTATTGTGGAATTTTTGTATTTGATAGTCCTAGCATTTAGCCTTCTATAGCTGCTTCTAGTTCTACCAGACGAAATGCAAGGAGACAGCTGCGTATAGAGAGGATGCTCGGGGTCCGACAATATTGTATTCGCTAGTTTCTGGCATGACATAATATGTCTATCCACAATAGTGTTAACCAGTTGGTTTAGCGATATCCCTCTTGCCCCACGAATGGCTTTTAGTGCCTGCTCTTCTCAGCAAAGCAAAGTCTTTCTTAAGTATTCCAGGAAAGATTAATGGGGAGCAGTAAAGGGGGATGGTTAGAATACAAGAATTTACAAACTGAGAAAGCAAAGACTGCTTTATACCAGACTGCCTAAATTTCCTAATGTAGAACGTTAAGCGAAACATCTTTCTAGTAACTAGCAAGATGTGGGAAGACCTGGAAAGTTCGGCAGAAAAACTCAGCCCAAGGTACTTGACATTAGATGTATTTACAACCTCTGTGCCGTCAATGATAGTGGAGCCATGTGAGCTAACTAGTTGCTGTAGGTCACGTTTACGTCTGAAAGTGAAATTGACTACCTGACATTTAGACGGATTAAGCTTAAGTCCGTTTGAAGTGGACCACTGACAAATTTCCGATAGGAAGTTATCTAATTTGGAACAATCTGATTGAGAGTTGACAGTCATAGAAACAGAGGGGTCATCAGGAAGCATACCTAACAAAAGTGGTTACATCAGAATGAGGCAAGTCATGTAAGAAAAACGAGAACAGAAAGGGAGAAAGAACAGCACCTTGAGGAACACCAGCTTAAGTAAGTAAGGTGAGGTAGTGGAGAACTTTCCATTGTAGACGGTGTACTGCTTCCTATCAGAAAAATTAGAATGCAACCACTTATTCGTCCAGCTCTCAGCATATGTTGCAGCAAGCTTACTTAGCAAAAGAGACCTGGGAACAGAGTCAAATGCAGATGTGTAATCAAGGAAGGCACAGCGAACGTATTTAGCTCCTTTATCTAAACTAGAGACTATGCTATGATGTAGACAACAGCGGCATCTAACGTAAACCTACTATATTAATAAGCAAACTGGTTGGGGTCGTTAAAAGGCTTTAAAGAGGATTCAAGATTAAGTAAAATAAGTCTTTCCATAACTTTCAAAATAGGTGAAGTAATAGCAATCGGTCTAAACTTAACATTAGGTCCACTTGTTGATTAAGGCACTGGAACGATCCTGATATTTTTCCATGATTCAGGTATAATTTTGGAAAACAATTCGTTGAAAATGTCAGTTAATGGGGAACACAAGATGTCGGCACACTGCTTAAGGATAACAGCAGAAACACCATCAGGTCCTAGTGACTGAGTAGGTTTGAGAGATTGAAGACACTTGAGGGCTTAATTCGTGTTAAAGCATGAGAAGCAGTCATTGTTTACACTATTTGAGTTAGGAATCATAACATTTGCTGGGATACATATGAAGGATTCATTTAGCATATTAACATCTACAGAAATACCATTCAACATTTGCTTACCACCTGTGATTTCCTTTAATAACTTCCACATATTTGATGGGGATTTACATGAAAGAAACTTCTGGTTATAGAGAGCATTCAATCTTTGTAATTCAAGCTTAATCAAAGTGTTCATTCTCTTAACACCAGATTTGTTTTTCATTTTGAACAACCTTTCTTTTTCACGGCGGAGCTTTTTGAGTTGAGAAGAGGAGAAGCGATCGAATTTTAAGAAGATTGTCTCTTTTGGACAATAAACATCAAGACAGAAATTAAGATAATGTGTTGTGTTGGCAATTGTGTTATCAAGAGCTTGTTCAGTAAATAAGTCCCAGTTTGTGTCTTTTAACATGGACCTTAGATTCAGTATGTTGTCATGGGAATAACATCTGTGCTGTGTTTTCTTTCCAAGGTGTGAGAAGACCCTTTTGTCTGCTTTCCATATACTTTGGGCAATATTCTTATAATACAGTGATCTGAATTTAGTAGTGGGGCTCTTTTTCAAGCTTCAAATATTCCTGCATCGTTTGTAAACACAAGATCAAGAGTGTTGTCCATTCTAGTCGGGAAGTTGACAATGCTATCGTGTCCAAGTGAAATTAGGAAGCTGTGATCACTAGAATTGAAATCACCAGTAACTATAGACAAGGAATTTCCGAAGGAGGTGGCAGCAAGGGAAGTAAATTCATCCGCAAATAAAGATAACTCTGTGGAGTTGCATCCAGGAGCAATATACATGTTCGAGATGTAAATGTAGTTGTATTTTGACAAATGTTTAGGTCGACACTTAACAGTGAGACAGTCAATATTGTCACTAGAGAATTTGAAACATACATTATTAGACGTACACCATTGTGAATTGATGAAGATGGCGACACCGCCACCGCGTTTCCCCCTGGAACTACACCGATCTTGACGGTACAATTTGAAATCATTTAGATATACTGGATTGTCATCATATAGATCATGTAACCATGTTTCTTGAAGTGGTATAATCCCAGCGATTGAAGACGGTTAATTTTAGCCGGCAGGGAGCGACAGTTGGTACTCATAATTGCGGGAACAGTCATGAA